TCCTGTGCTCCTTGTTTTTGCTATAACAGGGCCTTCATGAGCTGTCTGCTCACAGATATATCAATACCAATTTGTAAAAAATAAAAAAAAAACCCCACACCACCAAAAAGGACATGGAACTGTTGGAGCAGGTCCAGAGGAGGGCTACAAAAATGATCCGAGGGCTGGAGCACCTCTCCTATGAGGACAGGCTGAGAGAGTTGGGCTTGTTCAGCCTGGAGAAGAGAAGGCTGCGGGGAGACCTGATTGCGGCCTTTCAGTACCTAAAGGGGGCCTATAGGAAAGATGGGGAAAATCTTTTTAGTAGGGCCAGCTGTGACAGGACAAGGGGGTAATGGTTTTAAACTGAAGCAGGGTAGGCTTAGACTGGATATAAGGAAGAAATTCTTTACAATGAGGGTGGTAAAACACTGGAACAGGTTGCCCAGAGAGGTAGTGGAGGCCCCATCCCTGGAAACATTCAAGGCCAGGTTGGACGGGGCTCTGAGCAACCTGATCTAGTTAGCGGTGTCCCTGCTCCTGCAGGGGGGTTGGACTAGATGACCTCTAGGGGTCCCTTCCAACCCAAAACATTCTATGATTCTATGAAAAAACATTTCTTCTTGTTTTAGAGATTGCCTCTCCATTCAGGCTCTGGCTGCTGACTATAATTTATGCTAAGAACATGGAATTCACTGGAGGAAACATACACACAGAAAAGAAATAAAGGAGAAGTAAAGTAAGTAACAGACAGGGAAAAAAAAAATCACAGCACTGTATTAGGCAGCCACAGCCACGCACTCCACTCCTGACACCACTGCGTGAAACTTGCCACCTCGAGTTTATTTTCCTTGAACTACAAAAAACTTTTTTTATATATCAAGAAGCAAACACTGCACTCTCCACAAGCAGGACAGAATATTTCATAATTTCAATTAAATTAGCAAGTGGCAGAAATTTAAGCAACATTCCAAGCATTTCAGCGTGTTGTACGGGGCTACTTTCAGTGGCTCTGAGTGCATGAAAAGGCTGTTTCAGCTTGAACCAGTGGAAGAGTGCACAGGGTACTCTAATCATAAAACCTTGTGCTTCTGGCAGTGACGGGTGCAAAACCCATTGCAAGCTTTTACTAATGCTATTAACGTGTTAAGAGCAGCAGTCTGAACTGCTCAGGGTATCTTTAGTAGAAAGTTATGTACTACATTTACTAATATTTCAGTATTCCAGTAGTCTTTGAACTATTTCTTGGCCTTCATAGTATGAAGAGCATCGATATTTGAGAAAAAGATAGTTGCTGCTTCTTCCATGCTCAGCTACAGATCCGTAAGTCTTGAACTAGAATTCTAGTCATCTTACCCTACGCAGTCAGAACTAGCCTACAGTGAAGAACACTGGGGAAAAAAAAAAGCCTAGTATCTTACTGCTTCAGGCCTTAAGAACTTCATACATACGAATTCACCCCCAAATGACTTAGCTTGACATTTTAAATAACTTTGCACTGATCCATTTACCGTGTTAGGTACTACCTTGCACTAGTGGGAAAGAATTATAACAGTGATGTTTTAACTGTTGCTGCACTTTCTCCACTCTTCCTCTATTGGGTGAGTCTTCTCTCAAGTTCTCAGTATTCCTAACAAAACATCAGCTCCAGAGGGGTTAAAAGCAGTTTAAAAACAACTGCAGACAGGCTGGTGCTGTTCAACAAAATGAAGTCACGTCCAATGAATAGAGACGATTAAGAATAAATGACAAACTGCTGGTAGCTTCTCTACACTGTTACACACTAGCACTGCTAGAATTTTAATGAGAAGTAAAACAAGAGTCTAGTCTAAGCAGCATGTAATATCCTTTTTTTCTTCCCTAGGAATAAGGAAGTAGGTTCTACCTATTAAAGTAACAGCTTTCCTCAAAGAGATTCATTGACGTATGATCAGATAAATGCCTTAGATGAACAGGAGACATCGCTGTAAGGTTTAACAAGGACATTCTCAATAAGAACTGCATAGGACGTAGATCTTGTTTCCAACACAGCCCTGCCAGATCCCCAGATCTAATGATCCTTAGAATAAACTGCAAGATAACATCTCCCTCTAGACACAGTTTCGTACATCATTCCTGTTGCAGCGAAGAAAAAAAAAGGTCACTTTCACACCTGAAGGAAGGTCATCTCCTTAGGAAGGGTACTAAACAAGTTAAAGTTAGGCCTCCGAAATGCAGGTGGATTGTACTGCAGAGAAAAACAGGGGAAAAAAAAAAAGAGTAACTTTTAAACACACCCTGAAAATGCAATTTAACCTAATTTTAACCACTTTTCAGTAGTTAACTATATTTTAGAATATATCTTATGTTAAAACATTCACTTAGACAAGTTTTACAGGCAATCTTTACCCTTATCAGGACATGTGATACATGGTCCACTGATTCACGTTTAAGCTGACTGCAGGAACAACCCCATCCTAACAAGCAAATTATCACAAGTTATATATGAATTTGTGGCCTGCATCATGCAGGTGTTCCAGCCAGCTGGCTGACTGCAGGAACAACCCCATCCTAACAAGCAAGTTATCACAAGTTATATATGAATTTGTGGTGTTCCAGCCAGCTGATAACAGTCCTTCCCAGCCTTCAAAACTATGGCTTGTTTCACCACTGCATTAACTCCAGAATAACAAGGGTGTGCAACAACTGAATAAGTAAAACTGGAAAACTGAAGTATTACATGGTAATATTGTACAATGCAGTATTTTAGAAGCAATGATAACAAGTCTGTAGGAAGAATACAATTAAACCCATCTCTTTTTATTCTAAAACCGAAGTGGATAAAATCCAACTGGGATTATATGTACACATATAATACATAATGTGCACACATAATACTCAGTTCAGGCTGAGTCATTTGTATTAAAAACATAGTCTATTACATTTAGAAGTGCTTCATGCCTTGTTAACAGTTCCTTTTAGCTAAACTCTGATAAACATTAAATCAAACTCAGCACATCGGTTATTATAGGACAGAAATCAACTAAAAGGCATAGAATTAAATGAAGAGCAATTATTTCATAATGAAAGCTTTCCTTCTCCCCACCAATGACTACTTTTGACTTGACATATAAAAGCACTGTATATAAAATCATTAAATAATTACTCCATGCAAGTAATTTCTCAAAACCATTTAAATCTACTACTCTCCCCAGATAAAGAGTCAAGGCATTATTTATGCAGAAAATAAGAAACACATTAGAACAAGACAGCAATACACAGCTTTAAGTTTTGTATCCAGACAATAAAAATGCAGCTTATCATCTACTTATTTCACAAGCTTACCATATATTGCCAGGGATCAATTAATCATCTTTATTACATACTAAAACAACCACTGACTGATTTTAGATTTAAAATGGAAGCATGCAACTATAAGGGGAAAAAAATTCAAACAAAGTGATGCTGGGAAACAACAAACAGGTAATTACATTATCTGTACATAGACAACTGCATTAGTTTACACAGCAAATTCCAGACAATGTATTTTTTCCCCATTCATCTAGAGTTAAAAACAAGCCTGCTACTAGAGATGGAAAAGAAATCTCCATGTAAATTTTGCAATACTTTCAAGGGATAGATAATGGTCAAGACAGACAACATTGCATCATCAAAATCAAGCTGCAGTGTCCACACTGAATAGCTTCTCTTTCTTTACTTTTATAGGTCCAAGGAAGTGGCAATACATATTTACTGTTGATTGACCTTCTAATTCCCAATCTTTCACTGAAGTGCAAGCTATACTACGTAGTTGTCATGAACAGAAGGAAGCCTGACTGCATTTTACTTCTCTTAACATAGCAAAATACAAATTCCAAGACAGAAAATGCACTCTAAGGACTAAACCAGAAAACAGGTCTCAACATACAGTCCTAATTACTTGTCAAGCAAATCTTTATTATTTTTTTTACTGGTTAAAAAAGAAATCAGACAAAAATAGAAGAGGCTGGCACTCACAGCAGGAGTAGAAGCAAAGGCAGCAGGGGTGGGCTGAAGAAGTGTGGAGAATGAGAGGCTTCCCCCCCCCGCCCAGGGCTAAGTTACATCACTTTCACTTTTAAGGGATTATCCAGAACACAAATGCAGTGAAGTGATGACAGTTACACTAATTTCTAACAATGTATTGGATCTAGCACAACAGTTTACCAAGCCACAGCAGAGCCAGAAAGAAGCAACCCTATCCTAAACACACCTTCAAATATGATAGATTATATACTGCTGTCGTGGTTTAACCCGGCTGGCAACTCAGCACCACGCAGCCGCTCGCTCACTCCCCCCCCTCCCTCAATGGGATGGGGGAGAGAATCGGAAAGAAAATAAAAGGTTAGAGCCGAGGGCTGAGATGAAGACAGTTTAATAAGAGAAAATAATAATAATGATAACAGAATATAC